TGTAACAATTTGATCTCTTGAAATCGGGGAGTTTCTCGCCGGCTGTGGAATTGCTGCAGAAGGACGTCTGGTAGGGCTTTTGGAGTGAGCGGTTCCAGCGGATTGACCCTGTCGTTCGCTCTCCAGCCGTTCGATTCGGGCTTCCAGGTAGGAGATGTCTCTTTGGGAGATCGCGGAGCCTCTTGTTCTCCTCGCGCCCCAGATACACTGCGCTGATGGCCCATCTCTAACGGCGCAAGGCTCACATACTGTCATCCAACCCAACGGTTAAGCCAGCGTCCACGTGATACGTAGCGCTTCTTCTCGTGAAGGGAAGGGCAGAGGGGACGGTGAATTGATGATTTACCAGGTTGTGTGCCATCGCATTTGATCTTCTTGATACGGCACTCATCGCACGCTTTGGCGACCTTGTGTCGCTTCGGCGGCCTTTCCTCCATATCGCCCACCATCTCGAAGGCTGAGGCTGAGTAAGAAGAACTTCTGGCAGGAAGGAAGACCTAGCGGACTCGAGCAGATAGAGAACGGAGCCGCATGCTGGGATATTTACTAGATATGTGGATGTATACTAAAAGGGGAATTGAAATGCGGGGAAATATCTAGGTAGGTAGACACGGTAGAGTACCAGGTTGTAGATTATTCCGAGGTGTAGTAGCTGTGAGCTGGATCACGTGATTGAGATACGACATCCGAGAGTACGTATCCAATGTCCAAGGCCTAAAAAGGGACGAGGGCGCCTTTCTGGAGGCTCACAGCGGCCCATAGCCGGTCCTTCGGCAGGCCGAGACAATCCCAATATACTGATCTACCTCACCTCAGCCTCCACGAGCCGTTCCATGCCATCCTCGAAGGCAGGAGCTGCTGAGCAAACGTCGCGCCTTCGGCCCGCATAGAGAATTCCTTCGGCCTTGCGAGCAAGTCTTGACTACTACGTGATAGATCTCGACCACTTAACGGTAGAACCCTGAAGACTTCGGGAAGGCCAAACCACCTCCACCAAGATGGAGTGGGGAACAACACCAAAGCGGTTTCGGACGTCGTTCCGGCCTTACGAATAATCGACGTCATATGTACTTAGTCCTCTGAAGACCGCTCAGCTTCCGGATAAAGGCATGCCATTCCTGGGGCCTGTTCTTCCTGAATCTTCAGTTCTGCGGCAGTATCATCCAGCCCTACATCCACAATGCCTTCCGCAATTGTTACCGGTGCCACAGGTACATCACCCCCGCCCGCTACCTTACGTCTAAAGCTGACGGTCCTCTGACAGGCATCCTCGGCCGCGAGATCGTCCTCGAGCTGGGCAAGAACCCGCAGCAATGGCCTACCGTCCACGCCCTGTCACGCAGCAAGAAGGATTCTTACCCCGACAGTGTTGTCCACAACCATATAGACCTCACCTCGTCAGCGGAAGACATGGCGAAGCAGCTGGAGAATGTCAAAGCCGACTATGTCTTCTTCGCCGCATACCTCCAAAGGGAGACGGAACAGGAGAATTGGGACGTCAACGGTAATAGCCATTCGTCATAAATCTGCGCGCCTGCCCACGGCGTGGCCCTGCTAAATCTCATTTCTCTACAGGCGACATGCTTGAGAACTTCCTCTCCGCCCTCGACAAGACCGGCGCCTCGCAGCAAATCAAACGTATCATCCTCGTTACCGGCGCAAAACAATACGGCGTCCATCTCGGACAGCCCAAGAACCCGATGCTCGAATCAGACCCCTGGCTCACTGGGCCAGACCGACCCCTAACTTCTACTATCGCCAGCAAGAGATCTTGCACGCATTTTGCAAGGATAAACCTTTCGACTGGGTCGTCACTTACCCGAACGATGTCATCGGGTTTGCGAAAGGGAACTTCATGAATCTTGGTACCAGTCTCGCGCTGTACGCGGCTGTAACAAAGGAGATGGGACAGGAGCTGGTGTTCCCGGGCAGCGAGACGTTCTACACGAAGTTCGATTGCTTCACCTATTCGCGTCTGCACGCGCAATTCTGCGTTTGGGCGGCTCTGGAGCCTCGCGTTGGCAACGAAGCGTTCAATGTTGTGAACGGGGACGCGGAGAGCTGGCAGAACCTGTGGCCGAAGTTAGCGGCTCGCTTCGGGCTCAAGGTCAAGGAAGATCAGTTCTTGCAGGACGCGCCCGATGCAAGCACCAAGGAGTTGGCGGAACGACCGCCGCTGGCAGAGGTAGAGAAGGAGGTCGGGCTTGTGGGGAAGGTCAAGCAGAGTAAAATTGAGCAGAGGGTTAACCTCACGAAGTGGAGCAAGAAGCCAGAAGTCAAGAAGGCATGGGAGAGTCTTGCGGACCGCGAGGGTCTGGAGAAGGATGCGTTTGAAAAGGCCACGTGGAACTTCTTGGGGTTTGTGTTGGGCAGGAGCTACGACTTGGTTATCAGTATGAGCAAAGCGAGGAAGCTTGGGTGGACTGGGTGGGTACTCCTCTGGCTCTTCTTGGCACAGCCCCACCATCCCCGCGGGGATTTTTCTACATTGCGGGTAGGCCTAACTCTGAGAGATGGCTAACACTCATTTTGCAGGTATATTGACACCTGGGACTCGTTGTCGGAGGTCTTTGACGATCTTGAGAGCGAGAAGATCTTGCCGAAGACGAAGTAACGAAGCGATTAGTGTATCTATTCGAACGAAGTACCGAAACATACCACAATGTGTCCCGTGCTATTATAAACAGGCTCTTGGTGTCAAGAATTGCGACTGTGCTACCGTACATTCGTTGCCGAATACCTGAGCTATATCAGCTGAGTTGAAGGTCTATGATCTACTTGGGTAGGGCTAGCGTGGTACCGGGTTGCCCTGAACTCAGCGCTACCACTTTTTACAAGCACAGTACTGTCTTTAGCTGACTTTGTGGTACCCCAGTTCTAACAAAAATGGTGCAGGACGACGATATCGCAGTCATTCTCAGTCATCTTATACTATGAGAGCACCCTGCTCATCATATGTTCAAGCTAGATGTCCGCAACACTTTCGCATCTCAGGTATGGAATCCTTGCCGCTTGGCGGGCAAGCGAACATACCAACCCAAGGTTGGTGAATTAGTAATGTCTGGACGACCAGTGATCGATGGAAATAGGTTGTGTGCGTCTAAAATATCAATATTCTACGCTCTGTGCCTCTCTACCTCTCTTCACCATCGCACATAATACTCCCAACATCACTACAATCCAGTCTACGCTGTCAGCCACTCTTCACCCACACACGCATTACTCGAAACATCGTCATAATCCATTCCACGTTTCCCGCGTTTCTTTCACGACCACACGATATTCCAAACGTCCTTATAATACAGAGCTGTTCCTTCGACACCGCCATCAATCCTCTCATCCTCCTTACATTTTCATCACATCACCTGCTTGTGAAGCACGATGGATCAAGCCACGAAGCATACGGTCCCTAAACAACGGTCATACCGCCATGAAATACAGAAACTGCGCAAAGTTACGCTTATCAACGACCCGACCAACACACAAATCGACTTACCTCAAATAACCGACGAGGGCGTATACATCGAATTCCCCTCGTCGCCGCCTATTCGCGTAGTCATGGTCATGAATCCAACCCATGACGATATCCTCAACAGTATCGGCTTCGTCGCCGAAGGATATACAGAGCGGCGTCTCGCAAGCTGGCTAGAAGCGATCGCTCTCACCCAAATCTCTACAGAAGAGCTTGCAACCCACGAATCTCAAATGCGACACGGCTTCGATCTCTTCCCATACATCGAGGAACCAGAAGAGGACTGGGACTGCATACCACCACGCCACGACAGCGGCGCCGCCGGCTGCCGCAAGCCTACCTGCCGCTCTGTCCGCAGCGGCCCTCTCACATACCGACCGACGCATCCGACGCGCATCCCACGCCCCGTCGTAGCTGCACCTATCCGCCGCCTCGTCCACAAACTCCAACATCCGCCGACCTGGGGCCGCGATGCCAGCGGCCGTGCAACGAGATCGTGGCTGGCGAAGGTCGCACCGAAGCATTTTGATATCCATGGCATACTGAGAGAGAGATCGGAGTTGAGGGTATACGGGAGACGGGTATTGGGTGTGGATGCGGAGACCGCGGTGTGGTGGCGTGGGACGGAGGAATACGTGTGGAGGGGTAAGGGTATTGGATTGGGTGGTTTGATGGGGGAGGTGGGGTTGGTGGTGGGTGGAGGGATGGGGTGGTGAGAGCAGTTCAGTTATGAATTCTTAAGACGATACCCAGATCGCGTTGGAGTTCTTTAGTTTATGGTTACAGAAAGCTTTGTTCAAGCGCGCATTGAAAGCCACTCGTAGCCCTGAAGGTGAACAGTCCAAGCACATAATCCACAGATCAAAGACGTTTTGGGTGATCGATGCATTGAAGAGCCAGAGTGATGAGCACCTTTTGCTTTCTATCGTATGGAATCGGTATAGCTACTCTATAATCGACAAGACCGTGAGTCTACTTTGATCCCAAAACCAGTATTCAATAAGCCAAAGCACATATGCAGTAACGAACTATCCGGGTGGGATTGTTTGGCTGCTCTAAAATTGACAAGACCACGAGTCCACCTCGATCGTGAATCTGTTCTCTGACGAGCTGAAGCATAGATGCGACAACGAGGTTTCCGGGTGGAACTGTCTAGCTGCTCTATAACGGACAAGATCAGGAGGCCAGTTCAATCGTGAATCTGGTGTTGAATAAGCTAGAGTAGAGATGCGGCAAGGAACTTCTAGGATGGCCTTTAGGCCTAGTATCGCGTTCTCGTCGCCTCTCTCAACCTCATTACACGTTCCGAAAGATCTAACACATGGTCAATATACAAAACTCCTTCCTATCTGCGAAGTTGAATAGGGGAGTTGTCAACAGTCCCGTACGAACTGAACGCGATGCTACTCAAGAAACCTTCCGCCTTGCCTACCATAGTTTTGTGCAAAAGATAATGATAGGTAAACTCTCCCACATGCTGCGGAGTGCTTTGTAGAGGGAGAGAGCCGCAAAAGCACAAAAAGAATGATGATGGGAGTGGGACTCGAACCCACGCTCGTTTCCGAACCAGGAATTAATGTTAAGGTAACCTTAACCTAGGAGACTGTTAGTTTACATTTTAAGGAGCAGAATCACGTGACACATGCCTGGCGCCATAACCAACTCGGCCATCCCACCCTGTTGATGACGAGATGTGAGCTTAAACATTATATATAGCGGGTCTAAGAATTCTTCAAAATGGTGTTTACAAATCCAAAAACTCAGGGATTCCGAAGCCATCGGAGTCGGCTAATATGCGGGCCGACTCCTCGCATGAGCGCACGGACAGCAACACCAACTTCAAAGCGACAAACACTCACGAATGCCTGAATACCCAGACAGCTCGAACGCCCTTCATTCAGCTTACTCAATGCGCAACATGGTAAGGAATCCTTCTACGCATTCAGAGCCGCCGGCGAACTGGCGTGGTGAAGTTTTTCGGGCTGTTCACTTGCCATGTTGATTGAGAGGACTGCGTCCCTCCTCAGGTGCCTGCCGATAATTTGCGGAGACATCATCGATGGTCGCTTCAAACGATTGTTAGAGCCAAGAAGAAGGCTGCGGATGTATGGACAGTGAGGATTGCTTCCCAAACATCTTGCAAGCTTATTGCTCCAGACACTGAAGCCGGCACGCAAGCAAAGCTAAGTTACAAGCAGTATTCTCTGATACGGAGAGTGGAGCACAAGGCACTCGTCTTGCCTTTCTATCACATGATGCTTCTGACCTCCGCGAGTTGAAGACTAGTCACCTCATCGGAGCGTGCGCCGCCTGAGATTGTGCGGAGCCTGCCATATCCGCAACAGCCTGGGAAGCCTCATGGCAGGTGGCACACGCGATTAATCCTTATATAGCAACGGTTGCTCCCATTCTTTCTTTAGTATGTTGCTCAACGACCTTCTCAGACTACTCAGCGTTGGAAGTTCTTGTCGTATATATGAGTCATTCGGTAGTAACAAGACCTTCTACATACTCAAAAGTCTCGCTCCTCGCGGCGCTGGAGACTGTCTTCAGCCTTATATGCGTGGCTCTACCTGAAGACTAGCTGTAGTGTCTTATTACAGTTTGGAAGATCTATCCATCCGAGACAAACAGTTAGAGCCTGAGATCAGAATAGGATCACTCAATTGTTGCGCAGAAACGCTTCCCAAAACGGAAATATCGGCTCCTCCGTCGAACGCCGCAGTTTGGCCGGAGTTGCTCGCACCATGTTCATAGAAGGCCATGTTGAGCACAAGAGGCAGTCAGGCGCATGGGTAGAATGGGGTGCTCTGCGGTGTTCACGATTGGGAAAATGCTGCATGGCTGCGTATCTATCGAAAATGCACAATGACGCCTGGAAATTTGAATGATGAATCTGGGGCTGGGAGGACACCGTCGCAATCGCGGTGGGCAGATACGGAGCCAACCGACTGTTCGACCCCCATCTGTTTTACTCAACATGGTTCTACAGGCACGTGAATTCATCGAAACACAGCTTCATCGCGCACCAAAACCACTCCAATCATTCAGAACGCGCCGTGCGTGCCAGATGATAACGGCCGTTATCGCAACGGGGCATCTGCCTGCACGTTTGCAGATCTCTCCAAGATGATTAGTTTCCACCAACGGTCGACTCCGACAGCAAGAGACGGTGTAAAAGTGGGTGGCGGGTTTCCTGCGACCAGAAAGAGCAACAACGCTCGCAACATGCTTTTGCACCTTCCCCTGCACCTGCATGTGGATTTGCAACTCCAAGCCTATAATCTAGCGAAGGATGACGGACCTCGTGAGCGATTGGGCAAGCCCTGAGATGTAGTTAAGCACGCCATGCCTCCCCGCGCTCTCTTCGAACTTCGCGCGATTCAATCGAGACCTCCCTCTGGATACATGACGGTCGGGGACCCCAGACGAGTACCTCCACGATTAAGCGAAGAAAGTTCCGACTTCCAGAATTACCCCGATAACGACAACAGCGACTGTGAGTCTGAAAGAGCAGTGCTGTTCGCTATGGCCGAGGATAAGAATATCCACGACATGTCCGATGTCGAGCGGGCATCCTTCGACACGGACTCGCTAGGAAAGGGAGATTTGCTGTCTTTAGAGCACACAGATCCTGTGCTAAATGCGAAGATGCACATGGTCAACAATGTGCGTGCTGCCTTCTCTAATTGACGGAGGAGAGGCTCATCATAGTTGGGATGTCAAGGCAATCGACGAGATTGGGTTTACACGATATCACTGGAAGCTATTTGTGCTAAATGGCTTCGGGTAAATACTACTCTCCAAGTCTTCAATTACAGCAGCACTGTGTCTCACACCCGGGGATAGATACGCAGTGGACTCTCTGATCCTTCTCCTCCAAGGAATCACCGCCGGCCAAGCATCGCTCGAGTTCAGGCCCTCTTTCATCCGCGGCCTGACCATTGCTGCGTATGTTGGTATGCTGGTCGGCGCACTTTTCTGGGGCCTATCAGCAGATATAATTGGCCGCAAATGGGCTTTCAATTGCTCGCTGATGATATGCTCCATCTTTGCTATCGTCGCCGGCGCTTCACCCAACTGGATCGTACTCGGTCTTTTCGTCTGCCTCAGTGCTTTTGGAGCAGGCGGGAACCTGGTGCTGGACACTGCGGTTTTCTTGGAATACCTACCTAGCAAAAAGCAATGGCTCTTGACACTGATGGCTGGGTGGTGGGGTGGGTCTCTCCAACATCGCCTTTTCTTAATCCTGAGGACTTCCTTATGGAACCCCGGGCTTTTGGCAAGTGAACCACGAAGCTGACCATGTATAGGGCTCGGTCAACTCGTCGCAGGCCTTGTTGCATGGGCTTTCCTACCCAACTACAGCTGCCAGGATCCCAGCCTTTTCCCCAATGCCGAACCCTGTACGTACGGAAATAACAAGGGCTGGCGCTATGTGTGGTACACGTGCGGCGCGCTCGTGTTCGTCATGTCTATACTCCGTCTCACAGTCATACGCCTCAAGGAGACGCCAAAGTTCCTTGTCGGCGAAGGAAAGGATGCCCAAGTCGCCGAGGTTCTTCAGAGTATTGCCAAGAAGTACAACCGACCTTGCTCGCTGACCTTTGAGGCGCTCCAGGCATGTGGCCAGACGAACATAGGTTCTCCAAGGCGCGGTTCGGTTTCACACGCAAAGACCCGCTTCTCATTCAGCGAAGTCTGGGTCCATCTCCAAGGCCTCTTCGCGACAAGGCGCATTGCAATCTCGACCAGCCTGATCTGGTTCTCCTGGCTATGCATCGGTCTAGCCTATCCGCTTTACAACGTTTTCCTACCATCCTATCTTGCGTCGCGCGGTGCGTCCTTTGGCGAGCTCAGCCCGTCCGTCACATGGAGAAATTACAGCATTGCCAACCTCTGCAGCATCTTCGGGCCAGTCCTCGCCGGCTACATGTGCGCCACCCGGCTGGGGAGGAAGTATACGATGGTTGTTGGAGCTCTGGTCACCATGGTTTTCTTCTTCGCCTACACACAGGTACTGATCCCCGTTTCCCCTCGCCCTTTTCCCTCGTCTTTCCTCCCCAATCAAGCATCCACATAATCTGACAACCTACAGGTCCGCAACAACGCGCAAAACCTCGGCTTCAACTGCGCAATCAGCTTCTGCCTGAACATTTACTACGGCACACTCTACGCCTACACTCCCGAGGTGCTGCCCTCAGCCCACCGCGGCACCGGCAACGGCATCTCCATCGGCCTGAACCGCATCATGGGGATCATGAGCGCTGTCATTGCTACTGTTGCTGACACCAACACACCGGTGCCGATCTACATCTGTGCGGCGCTGTATATCGTCATGGCGGCGGTGGCGGCAGCGTTTCCTTTTGAGCCGTTTGGGAGGAGGAGTTCGTAGGGTCTGGTAAACCTTGAGTTCGGGAGGGGAAGCGGATGTGTTCGGCCAGTGACACTCGTTGAATGACGACGGCTTTACTAGATGACTTTAGAACTGATCGCTGCTGAGCGGATAACGGATTCTCGACACCAAATGACTTGTTAGTGTTGCAGTTTCAGATGTTTGTGAGGATCTTCGTATGCAGAGTCAGCCAGTGAATAATCAAACCACTGTCTACACGCTATCCGTCCATCTACCTCGCAAGAAGACATGATACAAGCCGAATTGGTGGAGGACCAAAGCGAGTTGGCCCCACCTGATGACCACACCATGCCATGATGCCTCGAAGCATACGCCGCGCAATGCCGCTCAAAGGAAATCCCACCAAGCCTGCTCAGTCAGATCTCCGTCGTTTGCGAGAAAGTCTAACAGCCGCATTAGCCACACGACACGGCATCAGGCCATCCGCATCAAACTCAAGACTCGTATGGTGGGGTGGGATAAGCCTGATTGTCTAGGCACGTCGTCAGCCAACTGCTGACAAAAGCAACACAAGCTCAAGGCTTGCGTCCCCCTGACTCTGACAGGCACAACTCACCTCTCCCAAGTACCGGGTCAACACCCTCAATCAGCATGACCCTCTCCTCAACCGCATCCGGCATCGGCGTATCCCCTGCATGTACTCCCGAGAACTCCGGCACACGCTCACCGGCTCGCTTCGACTCCTCCGGGAACGGATCCACAAGCTGCTCCTTCTCCTGGTCCCGGACATAGACGGCATACGTCGGCATGACGCCGCCGCTCTCGCCGTAGACCTCCGCCTCGCTGACCACACTAACATTCTCATCGTTGTATTTCCGCCACACCCCGGCTTCGAAGTCGCGGATGTAGCAGAAGTAGTGGCCGCTGCCGGTAGTCAAGCCTGAATGCAGGAAGAGCGCGAAGAGGCGGTAGGGGTGCTGTTTCATATCCTTGAACGGCTCGCGGATCGCGTTTTTCAGTTCGGGTATCTTGACCTCGAGCGTCTGCATCTCTTCTCTGAGATCTGCGGCCTTCTGCGTCAGTTGTCCGGCCAGTGCTTCCGCGTCCTCGAGCGGGAGACCTTCTTCTTTGGCCTCAGGAAGCCAGTCCGCGACGGCGTCGACGGCATCGTGGAGCTGGAGGCCGTCTTTTAGCTCGGTGAGAGTAACGTAGCGTTCTTGTGCGCGCTCCAGCTCTTCGGAGGCGGCGAAGGCACGTTCGCGGGCTTGCGCCAAGGCTGAGTCACGCGGCGATTTGGATGGTGCAAGAAAGCGATCCATGT